GATCTAGTTGAAGATGTCCCTGCCCACGGCAGGGGGGTTGGACTAGATGACCTTTAGAGGTCCCTTCCAACCCAAACCATTCTATGATTCTACGATACTATCATGAAACAAATATTTGCTTTCAATATTGACAGAAATAAATAGCCCTTTATTAAAGCATTTTAAACTTGGTTTTCTAAGTAAGTTATATTTGTCAAGATACATCTCTGATATGTAAGATGGATAAATCAGGTAAGTAGCTTTCTTAGTGGAGGTCTGAGGAGATTAAAAACTCTTTTTGTAGTTTCAGCAATATACTGAGCATCCCATGCTCTTCCAATAATATTTACTGATAAGCTTTTTTTCTTTTCAACTCACTTTTTTCTCCAACACATATGCTTTCCTTTGTTATGCCACTAAATTATGAGATTGCTGCACAGCTTAGAATAGTTTTCTCCTTAAGTGTTAATAATAAAACAAGACACTAAAAGACAGGCTCTTTTGGTTGAGTTTATTTCACATTTTCATAAGAATTTAAGAAAAATCATCACTTTCAACAGTCACGGTTGGTAGTACCTTATGACTTTACTAGACTTACTTTAATCAAAGAGGCTACCTAGAAAAGAAGGGAGGTCAAATACTAATTACTTAGAAGGATGATAAATATTTGGTTCTTAATGGAGACAAAATCTTGGTAGAAAAAATGAATGACCATATAATTATATTAAAATTAAAACAATTACTCTTTAAAAGAAGTTGTATCACAAAGATCACAGTTTTCCGACTCCTTATGCATATTTAATTCAAAATTACATTCCCAGAACAATTAACTCTATTCCTTCCTACAAAAAGGCTAATTCCCAAGCTTTAACTACTGCCTGTATGGTTTATATTTTGTGAATTTTAGAATCCCATTTCTCTCTAGTCCTATAATTTAACTACTCTAAGAATAGAATAATTGGAAAATAGTAATCAGATGGTGATGGACACAATTAGTTTAGACGTTTCTATAAACCAGTATCACTGATGTGCATAGGAAAGAAATTAAGGGGAAAATCTGTATGTAAGTACAGATATAAAATGTGTCAGAAAGCTCAAAAGGACTTCGAAAAAAGTTAAAGCCTAACGCTCCACACAACTGATACCAATGTACATCTCAAGCTTTCAAAGCTGTTCTGTGCATACAAGCTCTACACATGCGTGAGCATCACAACTATACATGAACCACTTTTGCAGATTGCTTTCCTAAAGAGGTCTCTGAACACTATGTCTAACACCACGTTATACTGTACTGGACCTGGGTGGTTTTTCTGTGTCTGATTCCAACATTCCTAGAATGTATTTTTAAGCAGCTCTGGGGATAAAAATATGAGAAAGGTCTAAAAAGTACATTAAAAACAGACTCTACATAAAGATTTTCCCTTTGCATCTGACAGAGCATCCTCCCTGCTTTTCAGTGATAGTTAAATTTTGTAGCTTAGCAGAAGCTACGCACAGTGCCTGGTAGGTACATCGTTTCTCAGCTGTTCAGATAAAGTAACGCAAAAAATAAAATAAAGATAAAGCATCCACAAAACTGAAAATTAACAAAAAAGTAGAAGAGAGCAACTTAAAAAAATATGAAAAACTCGACTTCTAATATAGTAATAAATATTCTTTCTATTGATAAACATATTCAGCCATGCAGAACACTTAAATACAAATAACCTCTGTACCTGAACTGTGGAACTGATTTCAGATGCAAACCCTCCTGTCAAGGGAGCCTCATGGCTAATCAGCAATCGCCCAGTCTTCACCACCGACTGAAAAGGAAAAACAAACCCCAAAAATGTAATCAAAGTACAGCTTTTGTGATTTCTCACTTGTACTACTTATGGAATATATGAAATATGTGACATTATTAGCAGTGTTAGAATGTAGCTACTTTTCCCCTCCTGAATTTTCACTGAAAGATAAATCATCCTAAAAGTTTAAATTGAGTAATTAATAGGATGTTTTTCTATTTACTATAAAAGTGTTTATATATCTTCCACTCCATTTTAAGCAAATACCAAGAATAAAAATTTATTCCATTGCATATGAATTCACCCTATCAACGCAAACTGTAACATTTGTGAAGAAGAATAAGGATTTTAACAAGTAGTCAGTAAAAACTTGTATCCTGAAAGTACTAAGAGACACACATGTACAGAAATCCTTCACTGATACGTATCTTTGCACAACCAGATCCTAGGTAAAGTCATGAATTGTAGCTATTCAGAAAGTAAAACTATTAAATACAAATTTTAGCAAGAAAACAATCATGTGGATTACTGCTGCTTATTTAAGTTTTACATGGCAATTAGAAGCAACATTTTCTAATTTTAAATCTCAGTGTGCAGTTTTTATGTATATGATCTACTTTATAAATAATTATGTAGCACAATGTATACAGAAGGTGATGTAAGCATCTTTTAATCAAAAAAACAGGCTGGGTTCATTGTGAAACATAACAATGAAAGCAAAATTTTTTTAATCTGATGGGAGTGTAAAGCTTCACCACGCCCAAATATCTTGACGTTTATTGCAACTACATGCTAAATTGCCTAGAATCAACAATATCAGATACCTTTGGTCAGAAATATGGCAGCAAAGACTCACTTTTCATAATACACATTTTATAATTTCATAAGGTGCATAAAAAAGTTTCATGAACTTCTAGAGATGCACATCAGGAAAAAAATTTGATTAATGTGTATGTTAATCTTTCAAGAACAGTTACAGTCTGATTTTTAACATAAGTACATAGCGCACTGCTGGTGTACCATTAGTCATCAAGTGGCAAAGCCCAAGACAGGGCTAGCTATCAGGTCAGACTTTCTTAATGCCGTGATCTTCAATTTAATGTCTACACCAGCACATTCTCCAGTCAGGCAGCTCTGTGTTGTCTACATAACAGAATACATATAGGCAATGCCTTAATTATACAGTTTTCCTTCTGATTCAAGTACTTTTCTGATTCTTTTGCTTTTCTAGCAATGACTCAATCAATGGCTCTAAGTAGCTCATCCACAGATGTACTGGCAAGTCACAGGCCTATAAACAAGATGATCCATATACTGTACTATGAAGTGGTTTGACAACATTCAGAGCTAAACAAGACAGGAAAAGCCATTTCAACAGTTGGAAAGTGATCCACAGTTACGTAGGCTGATTTCTTTAATTTCTTTTGCCAGCAATGGAAACTCATATCTGAAAAGCAGAGGCATTAACTGCAGTATAAATCTGTTCAATCCATTAAAACGACAATTCAACGAACAAAATGCACACTCCAGTTTTAAGTTGGTATGATAAAACTGACACAATCAGTTTTAAATTGCTACGGTAAACCTGATACAATTAATCAATTTAAAAGGTTTTTTTCAGAATCCTCTTACTTTTATTTCAAACAAAGATTCTTTTGCATATATTTGTTCCGAGAGGTTGACACTTCGAAACATTACAAGCTATCATTAAGGTTACAGATTTGGTTTCTCAGAATTTAATAGTATGAAACAGACACTGTTAGAATGCATGTAAGAAAATCCACATGGGATCAGACCAGTAATCCAGCAGTCCAGTATCCTGTCTCCACAATGGAGATAATTTGCTGTTTAGGAAAGAGTAAGCTTAGGGTCTTTAATGTGTTCCTTCACTATTTCTCAGCCTCCAACTATTTTCACATCACAGGTTTCCTGAGTCCAATATGGTTTCTTGCTCTAAGTAACTGATAACTTTTCTTGCATGAATTTATCTGTTCTCAAATTGAACCCATGTAAATAATAAAGAAAAAGGGAAAAAAAGGAAAAAATCACATTTTGGAAACCTGCTTCTCCTATACGAGAAATCCTTATTTTTACTTATGATTCCCAAGGGCTTCAAGGATTCTTTGCCTGTAGGAGCTTGTTAAGAGCGAGCAAGCAGCTGTGATCACCAAGCATTGCATACAAGCATCTCAGCCCTGCTAAAAAGCACTATATATCTCTCCTGGTGGGAAACCATGCTAGCATAGCTTTGGTGCTCTTAGTACCCATGCTAGCTTGTTCAGGGTCAGCGTGGATACCTGCACCACATAGGATATGTGGTACTATGTACCCAGCAGAAATTAACTACTATACTGCACTGCAAAGAGTCCTGGACTTTAAGGAAGGATGTGAATATTGCGATTCCTGAATATTACAGGCTCCCCTGCATCAATTTCTACTTCACATTTAACACTTGTTCCTAAGCTACAGTGAGTCTTTCAGAAAGATATGCAATCTTAATTATGGTATTTCCAGTGTTTGCAAATGCATCACAGCTATTGGTAAGTTGTTCCAGAGTTTAACTGCCTTCCCTGTTAAAATTTTGCACCGTATTTCCAAACTAATTTGGCTGACCTCAACTTCAAGCTGCTGGTTCTTATTTTACTTCTGTTTGCTAGATGGAGAAGCTATCTATTATCACATTTCTGCTCCCCACATGAATATGTTAAGATTGTGATCAAATGATCTCTTAACCACACTTTTGCTAAACTAAGCAAACTGAGCTCTGAATCTTTCACCATGAAGCACGCTTCCTATTCCTTCATCATTCTTACAACCCTACCCTGAATCGTCTCCAGTTTTCAATGTCCTTCTTGAAGAACACCCATCTGAAACCAGCATTCCAGCCTTTTTCCAGAACAATGACAAACACGGAGATAACATACCCTCGATACTGCAGCACTTGGACGTATGAGGCCTTTTGGCCAAAGCATAACAACATGAGTCCAGTTTCAACTGATGACTACGATTCCCTGTTCTTGGGAAAGAGGGTTTTGTTATTAAAGGATAACTGCTTCTTGGAATAAAGATGGATATATAGTGTGCATTTATTATTTCAAGATACAAAATCATATTTGGATATGCTGAAAAATATATCATGTGCCTGAACCCAGCTCAGTTAATGAATCTATCTTCTCTTTATCAGTGACTAAGTGTCTATTTTACCATTTCTCCAGCTGTTTGTTACCTCTAACTTATCAGTAACGAATTTAAATGTTTTCCATATCTTTGATAGAAATATTAAAAAACAGGTTAAAAGTCAGACTCTGCAGAACCTCAGTGACTTTACTATTTCCATTCACTAGCACTGCCTTTACATGACATACAGTTAAAGTCAACACAGCACTAATACCTTACTTCTCAACTATGTTAATTTGTTCTGTGAGCACCTAATTATGAATTGTTGATCATATATTTCTAAGTTATTTCTCCCTACTTGCTTATTCCTTCCTAATTTTTAATAGTTTTATAGATTATTCCTTCTAACTGATTTGGAACACAGTTTTTGGGGGTTTTTTGTTTGTTTGTTTGGGGGTTTTTTTGGTGGAAAAAATGCTCCATAAGGTATCAGATTAATAAATTACTGGTAGAAAGATACTTTCGTTCATCAAACATATTGGGTCTCTGTATGCCCTCTTCATTTTAATTATTATATTGTTTTCTCTATCTTACAGATGACAGTACTATACAGTAATAACAGCAGCCAATAGCACCGGATGTGATTTTGTTAAACAAATTTTTTAAATATGCATTACCATGTAAAAATGTTTCAGACTATATAGCTTAGAAGAAAGTCATAGCCCATGATTAAAAAGTCCAACCTTTTCCTACATTGGTAGTGTTCTAGAATGGCTAACTTATTTAATTTCTGTGTCTTCATATGAAAATTTAATGTTATTTCCTGGAAGTAAAATGGTTAATCAGATAAAAGGGAAAATTCAAAAGTAACTGCTCTACAATCAATAGGGCACAGTGGACATTGTTAATGATTATTTTCAGATATCAATGCTGTTCTATAAAACATGAACTTCATTTTTAAAATATACTATAAAACATTAGTCCCTGTCAAATCAAATGAGGAAAGCATTCAACCTCCAGGATAACCAAAGCCCAACATTCAGAAGAGCATTTACAATCCAAATAAATGCAGCACGGTTACACCCAGTAATGGGGTCCTCACCCTTCAAACTTAATGGGAAATACCACTGGCATAAAACTGGAGAAGACAGTGGTTAAATCAGCACAGTGTAACAAATTGGCCAGCATAGAATCCTACCATTTTATCACTTTTTAAAAAGGTGGATAGTTGGAGTGTTTGGGTTGGGTTTTCTTTTTCATTTGAATTAGCTAGAGAAAAGGATGGCCTTTCAAGGAACAATGTGTTTTGTCCCCTCAACCAGAGACTTGTTGCATTTCTGTAAGGGCTTGATTCTCCTCCATTTCCCCAACAACCCTGCTCTGTCTTCCAAAACCCCAGTCTTTACACTTCTCCTTACCTCAGTAAGAGATTAAAATTTTGAAACGCATGCACATTCTGCAGCTCATGTAGAGTACTTTTAAAAATACATCTTCAAAAAATACAGTGTGGCTTAGGAGATTGGCACTGATAAAAATGTTCCTTCTTTACATCCACAACTAGAAGGTGTTGTTTGCTGATCTTTAAAGTCCAGAGAGGCTTCTGAGGGTGCAAAGAGATTCTGTAGGTATCTCCTATCTCAAATTAAATGAAAATGGAAACTTTCTTTTGGCCATCTTTAGTAACAGACCATAGAGGAAAGTCAGAAGCAACATCCGAGCTTTTAGAGATCATAGCTCCTCTTTGTGTCATGGTCACTCTGCACTTTCATTGCTGAGTTCAGCCGATGCAACCCTGGTTGCTCCCGAAAGGGAGAGGTCCTATCCTACCAAGAACCTCCTGTTCCCAGCCCATCCCTGGCATCTCCTCAAGCACTGAAGGGGCCACAGGGTAAGCCAGCTGA